CACTGGATATTAAATAGTAACAAAATTTATATTAATTCAATTTAAATTACTACATAGAGAATCAAAAGACAGACGCCTAAATTACCTCGAACAACTATAAAATATTAAAATCAGAACAAGAATTTTTTAACACATTTTCTATTTAATAATTAATTATACTGTAGTAAGTAGTAATACTGTAGTAAATTTCATTATACTGTAGTTAGACTGTTAGTTTTAAGAATATCCAGAAAAAGACCTGACAAGCCGAAACATATTATGTAGAGATAAAACTAAAACGGTATGGAAATTTGGAAAAGTATAAATGGGATTGACCATTTTAGAACAAACAAATTTTTTTATGAAGAATGCATTTTTCTGAAAATGTCAATAATAAAAGAGTGTTCCTCTTGTAAAGCTAATCCGGGGAGATACTGTATATCGAAATATCTAGTTTCAGAACATATTTATTAACAATATTACAATAATTAAATTAGCGACTTACTGAAAGAAACATATAAAGCTCCAGCAGCTAACATAGATAATCCAATCAGAGTTCCAACTGCGGCACTCATTGTGTTGCGCACTATTTCATCTCACAGGCCATAATAATTTAATATATTTTTTTTTAATTTTTCATACATGCATAGTTGGATGAACACACATTTTATAATAATTGTCATATTGAAACATATCAGCCGAAGATCACAATTACTATATAAATGAGGCCCTGTTTCCTGATTACCATTTTTTAATGTTTTATATATAAATGGAGAGGCATTAAAACTTAATATTATACCTACTTACTATAATATCAAGATTATTTTGTCCATTAGCAATTTGTTATCTTTTATAATTTTTAAAATTAGATTTAAATTTAACACACACAGTTTTACCATAGAATACAAGCAGATATTATTTATCTCTCTCTATAGCCTATGGTTTTAATTACCAGTATACAGGGTGTCCCAGGCTGAGTGTGCATTAGAAGTTTCTAGAGAAGCGCAATATCTAGATCGGAGATTTTTTGCACATCATTGATTTAGAACGAGATCTATCGATTAAAAATATTTTCAATATGGCGGCACTTCCGGAAATACGGAAGTTGACAGCAACTTTCTTATTTTAAAGGGGTGCCCCCATTTTTATTACATACTTAAATTCTCTCTAAAATTCTATGAATATTGATATTAAACACTCTATACCTAACATTAACCGTTTTTGAGAAAAAAAAATATTTAAAATTTCTGGACGAAAAAAACTACCTGTCAAAAAAATTTGTATAGCCTAAAAGTCACATTTAGTGATTATCACAGCCACTGTGGCATAAAGAGAAGACATATGGCTATCTATTCCAAAAATTAAAGTGTTCAAATGTCATATAATAATGGCGGTAGCTGTTATGGAATTGAACGATTAAAAAATTATCATAAATCATTTTTTTCAAACGTAAACCCACTTTTTTATTTTACTAGTGAAAAGATTTTCCATTTCGTTACTTTTTGAGTATACATATTCCTATACCTAAAATAAATCGTTTTTAAGTTATTTAAGATTTAGTTTGAAAACGTAATTTTTTCTTGATTTTATCTAGCTTCCTTTGACATTAAGTGTCAAACAGTTAGACAATTTATTCCCATCTGTCAGAAAACGAATTATTTGAATTTCCTATATTATAAATACTGCCCGCCCCCCCCTTAAGACTTTAAAAAGTGAATTTATAAAAATATATCTCGTATTTTCGCTGTTTTTTAATATCTAATAGCATAGTTGATATTATTAATAAAATACTGATCGAAAAAAAAACAGCGCAAAGTTGTCTTGGAAATAATGATCGATGACATACTGCTTTTTGAACAAAGTGTCACAATATGACATGGTCAGATCTACTGTTTTACATCACTTGACGTTTAAAGTCATAGGCTACTGATTAAAATCAAGAAAAATATACGCTTTAAAACTAAATCTTAAATAACTTAACTTAAACTTCAATTTATTTTAGGTATAGAAACATGTATAGTCAAAAAGTAACGAATTGAAAAACCTTTTCACTAGTGAAATAAAAAAGTGGGTTTCCATTTGAATTTTTTAATCGCTTAATTCCATAACAGCTGTGGTCATTATTATATGATATTCGAACAACGCACGTTCTAACGCACGCTCAGCCTGGGACACCCCGTATAACATATTTACTCTTACTACATACAAAATAAACATTTTAGATGTATGGTAATGTCGGAAAAATCGCGTCAAGGGGGTTTGGAGAGGACGAAGACTGACTTTCACCATATAATTTTACATTAAAATTACAACGATCAACGATCTTTATTTCCAAGCCAACTCTGACGTCTATTTTTATGGCATAGTATATATCTACCTAATAGCTATATCCCTTGTTTATATATTAATAGTTAGTCAATGTGCCTGTATAAGTCGATGCTGCCAACTGGTGGCAGAAATTAAAACGTAAAAAGGGGCGGAGACTATTGAATTTGGCAAAGAAGTAGGGACTAGGAATTCTTCGAATTTAATTCTGGGTAAAGAATAAAATATCTTATCTGCTTTGAACCGAATTTTTACCTCAAAGCGTTATTTACATTTTTTATTTTTGGATATGGATTTATATTTATTTTGATTTTCATGGCCCCTTGTTAAATACTAAATTATTATATTAGGTATATATATATTTTATTTCTAGATGGATAATTAAAAAAATATATGAAACTATACCTACCTACCTCTGTAACTTTGTAAAAAGTATGACGGATTTAACATAATGTTTTTTTTTAAATGTAACATCCTATTTTATTTTAGATCCTGCGTAAAATTATTACTTTTTTATGTATAATCCTTGTATAATGGTGTAACCTAAAACTAGTTTTCTAATATTTCAATTTGTTGATGATGAAAAAAATATTAGATACTATGTAGATATTTAAGGCAGATGCTACAGGGTGTTCAACATATATTAATGGTTAATTCTACGTATTTAAAATTTAAAAAAATATCTGCAGACTCTTTCAATGACACAGCCTATACTGAGTGTTTTTTTTTAAAAGTGGTTCACCTCTATAACTTTTTTATTTTTTCAGATTCCGAGAAAAAAACTAAATTGGGAATGTTAGTAGGTATATGACATAAATCGAGATTGATTCGTATTCAGTTAGTTTCGGTCACTTCCTGTTTTACCGGAAATGTATACATTTGATTTTTAGATGGTACCCTCGGTATTTTTTATACCGTAAGATCGAAAAAAAACGGCGTCAGCGATGGCTATGAAATGAACATCGATGACATTTCTCATATAAATTTACATATAAAATAGCCATTGCTGACGCCGTTTTTATTCGATCATACGGTACTTTATTTGATAGAACGCTGACGCCGTTTTTATTCGATCATACGGTACTTTATTCGATCATACGGTACTTTTTTTGACATCAACAATCATATGTCAACTTTTGACATTTTCAATTAAATCAAAAATAGCATTTTAAAATTCAATCTAGTGTCATGGCTGTATTAAAACCATTATTTTTTAATCAAGGATTAATCAAGGAGCTTTGGAAAAATTGATTTGGTCGTCTAATATTTTTTGTGTTTTTTCCTGGTCAGTTGAAATATGCCCATTTCGTATTTTAATCATAACTCAATTTTTTTTTAATGAAACGAGAGTGGCTCATTAGCATATTTGGAAAAGCATTTTTGATACCTAATAAATTTTGGTACCTAATTTTGGTAAATATTTTGGGCTCCTACGTGGGTATAGGAGCCCGTCATAGTGTCGTGACCGTAATCGTGACCAATCACGAATCCGCACACGTTCATATCCATCATCAATATTTTCCTCACTAAATTCTTCACTTTTACAAGAAAACATCGCGATAAAAATCAAATATCAAAATTAT